CAAGCGCGCGCGCGCAGCGCACACACACACACACACACCACACACACACACACACACACACACACACACACACACACATACACACACACATACACACGTAACACGTATACGCTCGGCAAAGTCGCGTCGAATAGCGGCGCTTCGCGTTCCGATGCGCTAGAGACACTCAGTCCGAGCGATCCGCCATTTTTAATCGATATAAGCGAACCTCGGCCGTGCGAGACTTAATAGAAAATCCGAGAAAATCCGAAGTAATATCGCGCGATTGTCGTGTAAATTTTTACATGCTTTTTACATATAGAGATATATGTTCAATCATATTTTCTGGAACACCCTCCGGCCACTAATAAAGATACACAACAGCATGTTTTATTAGAGGGTTTCTTTGTGTGAATTGTTAGATTAGATAGCAGATTGGCAATGCACGACGATGTGCTGCTAAAAGCCTCGTGCATTTCTGTATCCTTCATATTGTAAGATTCAACGAATAAATCTGGAGCATAAAGTACATTGTTTAATTCATAATGTCAAATTATACCTACACATAATTAGAGCGATTATTTAATTATTTCTACGGGTCACCATTGTTCCTATTCAATATGTCGTTAATCAAATTAAAGTAACGGAGTTGAATGATTTAATTGAAGAAAACGTTGTTAAATTTCAGTCAAATTTAATTTATTATTTATTACCGTAAGTGATATGGACGATGTTTACTTTGAATTAACTATAGAAATGAATTGATTTTGACACATATGAAAATGAAAAATAGCAATATTATTTAACTCAAAGGACTAGGTCATCATTATGTTCTTGTAATGTCCAACAGTGTAAATATAAAGTAAACGTATACCTAGATAAAATAATAAAGTCATAATAGTAATGATGATAATAATAATAAATAATAAAATAATAAATCATAATAATAAAATCAAGATACATCAGATAATAGTCATTTTAGGAAAATTATAATAGTGTTATTTAAAAATCACTGTTATGTCAAGAATTCATTACAAAATCATAAATGTATCGAATGATATCATGATGGTTTTTCCTAAAACAATTTTTATTGATGTCATTTGATTTTGTGTTCTACTGTTACTGATTACTGTTATTTGATTTCGAAAATGCCAAGATATTACGAATCTCTGCTCAAAGATGATTCGTAATGTCCCTTTTCTGGGACTTGTCAATCAACGGAAGCTGTTTAGCACGACTACAAATGTTCGTGGTTGAAAAGGCCTGAACGTTTTGTGAATGATTATACATTCTCTTTTAAATGCTCAACAGTCGAGAATGCTAACTACTTATTTCCGAGTGCGGAACTCGTCGCGCTAATTAAACACACATTTAACGTTACATTTTCACGCAGTGCGGTGCTTTAAAAATCGCATATAGGTTTTTAAAAAAGGTTTACTAAAAGATGCGTAAATGGAATATTTATTATTTTTAATAAATCTTTTTTTTTTGATGTTTCATTTTTTGCTATTGGATGTCAAAAGAGCAATGGCATCCAATCTGTTAAATTAAATAACATTTTGTTATTTTTAACTGCCATATGTGTCAAAATATGAATTATTAATTTCTGTGGTAGTTGCTAAATAAATAACATATTAACATATGCTTAGTAGTAATGCTTAGATAATAAACTAAATTTGAGTCAAACTTAATTTTTTAAAATTAAATTACTCATTCATTAGTTAAGACGTTAAGCTAATCAAAAAGTTAAGGTTCGATATATCATGGATATAATTTGACTAATCACTACAATCCCATTTTTCAAAAAATTATCAGTGCTGATACATTTATATCTTATGTATCTCAGCATGACTTGCTCTGTTTTAATGTATTTGACATTCTCTTTAATTTCCACGATGTAATAATTTTGGACATATTTTCGTTTCTGTTAACTATGACGATGACCCAAAAACGAGGGATCGAAACATTTAATTAATTTGTTATTCAATAAATTTGAATTAGCTCACGAACACGTAGTATTGATTATTCTCTAGAGCCTTTTATTATTCTTTTTTTAAATTGATTAACTCCATTGTGTGTTTTAGTTGAATTAACGACAAATGGAGTAGAAGTGTTTAAACTCAAATTGCATATAATTTGACATTATCAATTTAACAGTTTGCTCTTCCAAGATTGTACGGTAGAGTTTGCAGTTCCGTCTCTCGCGAGATAGAAAGATCCGGCCGTTTGGTTGCGCACCGTAGCGGTAACGCGTCGGAAATTATTCTCGGATGGCTTCCCGTTTAAGTCGGCAAGCCGTACGGAAATAATGTAGTCCCGCGCGGATGCGAAATCGCAGGTGACAGTAATGCTAAATTTGAATGAAGCGCGCGACCTCGCGCGAGATTTTTACGGATCGTCCGTCGTCATAACATAACAGATTGTTCGCGTGCGATATACGGTGAGAATTCTCTTATTGACGGAGAGAAAGAGATGGGCAGGGCAGGGAGTGAGAGGAAAATGGCGAGGACATGGGAGGAAAAGAAGGGGGAATTGTAGTAAGAGAGAGGGAGAAGAATGGTAGGAGAAGGTGAGAGGAGAGGGTGAGAGATTAAGATCGGTATGGCGGAATATAAAGAGCGCAGACAACGAAGTTCGATTTGGAGCTGCGAATTATACGCTAAGTAATTTTACGTAATCTTCATTAGACATCCGACCAATGTTACTTTCGTCATCATGGCGTCGTCGAGACTTCGTGTAATTTTATCATTAGCTGCAAAAAAAAAACAGCTTTGCAATTGTTATCAAATTCTTTACAATCTAATACAATTGATTTTGTCCTTAGTCCCTCACTGGATCTGATTATATAAATCAATCATTAAAAAATCTTACAACAGTCGCGAAGCTACTTTTTCTGCTGAACGTCGGACGTTATTTTCTATCAGAATCGTCCGTAATACGTCGATACATTCCTCCGGGGAGCAATGCGAACGTTTTGAAGCGGTAATCTGAGCACAAATCCGGAGCTGCAACAATCAAGTTAGGTACCTCAACGTACTTAACGATTTCGCGAAAAAGTTTCATTACTCCGATTCATCGCGTGGCAGGTCGACGCGGCCGAGGATCGAGGGTCGAGGGCCGATGAAGGGTGAGGACGGGAGGGACGGCGACGGTATATATGCGAACGCCGTGAACATCGCCCCGCTCCATCCGCGCGCCTCACCGTGCCACGCCGATCGTTCCGATCGCGGTGGCGGCGCAACGTTCGCGCTGCATACGGCGGGGGGAGGATGGTCGCTCGCGGGAACGGCCAGCCGAGCGAGCGGACCTATCGCTTCGCTATTCCGTGCGTTCTAGCGAAATAGCTTCGCGCTGAGACTGAGTCCGTTCTTCGTGTGCCCGGAAGCCGAGTGTAAGTCTGAAGAACGACGGTCGTTGTTGTTGCCGCTGCCGTTGTTTACGAAACCGCGTGTTCTGGCTATAATCGAAGGGTCGCCCGCGCGCGGCACTCCCCGCGGTGGCTCTTTTCTTCTTTTGCCTTTCGTCCCTGCGCGCCGCCACCGCCGCCGCTGTTACCCGTCTAACCTTTTTCGTGGAATTTACGCGGCTACGCCGATGCTACTGACGTTTGTTCGCGAATGTATCTCGCGGATAGGGGAGGGCAGGGGGGAGTACGTAGGATCCGACATCGACTGTCTCTTAATCGTCCCGAGTGACCCGATGTGTGACGCTCGGTTCGAGGTATGTTTTTTCTCGGCGAATAAAAAATTTTCCTATCACTCTTTCTCTCTTGCTCTCTCTTGCTCTTTCTCGCGACTATTCCATTCTCCGTGCTAGCATCTTTATCGTTTTTCTATTGCTATATATATATATATGTGTGTGTGTGTATATGTGTCTCTCTCTCTCTCTCGCGCGCGTGCTCGCTCTCTCTGTCTGTTTGGTGCTGCTCGCGCTTGGCACCTTCGCCTGCCTTCGCTGGAACTCCGCTTGTTCTCCTATCCGTGAAGTGCGTCGCGCGTTACCTCATACCAGCGTAAAGTTTGCTGCGATCCGCGCTACTCCGTTTTAAAACGGAGGCGCTCCGGAGCGTCGAGGTGGCATTTACAGACGTAAATAATGTCGCGTTATCAAACGATCGTACGTCGTCATTGTTGCGCAGTGTTTTCCCCCATCGTCGTCGTCGTTATCGGATCGAGTTAAGCACGGACTACGCGGGATGTTGTGTATGCGATATTTTGGGCATTGGATAAGCAGGGCCGTTGCGGTAATTGCGTCGTTTAGGTTAGGATCGTAACGTCTAGCTAACGGGTCTGCCTGCGGCTGGCTATAGACAACTTAGATTTAACCTTGAACGGATCTTGTACGCTCCTCTTTCTCGTTTTGCTGCTTTGAGGTGTTCCGATCGATAGCAACAGTGAGCTGTTGGAAAGAAGAGCGTTCAGTGTAGATTTACTTGGAACTGCGCTAGTTCTGCAATCACTGATAAAACGAGGATAAAAAGATAACCATTTTTTTGTGCTTGAAATCGATATTTTTATTTAGCTAGGATGTTTATTTTTATTGTCTCTATTTGATAAACTGAAGTGTTTTGCTTGGACGTTAAACTATTGTTTTTACATAGTCGTCAGTATACAAAGTATTTGACTGAATGAAATTTAAATGACAGATCCATTGACAAGTTTAAAGTGAATTGATTTTCACGTGAGATTTCTTTACAGATAAAATGCGTTGAAATGCGAAAAATTTAAATGAATTATGCTTTAGAATTGTAAATAAATAATAATTTTTTCTTCTTTTTTTATAATTCTAAATAATCTGTATTTTAACAAATATGTTAAAAAGTCTATTTGTTTTATCTTAGACATTTAATATCGAAACAAATTATATTAATAACTATTGAAAAGATCCGTTTAATATATTTTATCTATGGTAATTTTTACCGAGAAAGTTTTGCTTTAAATTTATTAAGCAACATGTTATTCAAATTTGATGTATTAAAAGTAAATATTACAAAGTTATGAATTACATTTTGTATCTTTCAGATCTCCACTGGCATGGAGCTAGGAGCGCACTGATAGCGTTAGTTTGCGAGGTACTACTTTGTTATATTTATATTTTCTATATTCTTTTCATTTTTTATAACTTTCTTAGACTTACGATTGCTAGAACAGTTTTAAAAATTATGATTTCTATGCATTTTTTGTATATGTATGTGTTCACAATTAATGATTTTTTTATATACAACTTTTATTTTTTATGTTAGAAAAAAGTATGTAAATATTTTCTGTTTAATTGTACATTTATATTGTAATTCTCTGCTTCTACATTTAATACTATATAATTATTTAAACTATGAAAGAAAAGTTTCTATGTATTATTCGTAAATGAATCTATTTTAATATAATAGGATGCAAATTTATAAATGTTTCAAATTACTTATAGATATATTTGTATTTTATGTACAGATCTTGGTTTCTATGCATTGCCTGCCAAAGAAGAACTGAGCCCAATGTTTCCACACAATTCTAGTTCACATGAGATTTCTACAGAAACAAATGCCTTCGTACAAAATTCCATGGTGAGTATTTATATACAAATTACAGATATATTTAGGCTAATAACTTTTTTATATCATATCATTTGTAAACTTACTTTAGTTAAAATGAATTATGCTTGTATTTTAACTTAAATGTCAAACTCTGAAAATTTAAAAATAAATTGATAAAAATAGTATTGAATACTATTTAATAAGACAATTTTAAATCTTTGTAGACATACATATGACGCATATGATGCTATTTATAGAAGTTTCATGTCTGAGATTAGTTGCATCATTTGTTATGAGTATCTAATTATCTGCATTTATATATGCAAATATTGTACTTTTTTTATATGATTTATTTGTTAATACTGTATATCACACATACGATTCTATCCATAATTATCACAATTATTAACTTTAATTTATCTTATCCTTATATGTAATATTATTTTAATTTTATGATTATATTATAGTTTATATGTTTGTTTATTGGTTTATCTTACACTGATTTACATTTTGAAGCAAACACATTTCTGCAAACAAACATAAACATGTCAGTTTTTTACGTGTTACAGGGGGATGTAGTAGTATTAGAGGAAAGCAGTCTGGATGGGGTGGGGGAAGGGGAAGGATCAGAGCACATTAGGTACTGTGATATCGAATCGATAGCAAACAGCAGCATGATGGCAGCACCTATTAGCCATCCCGAAGCTACCGCCGCCAATGACTTTTCAACCCCTTGGTGAGTAAATAAAAAATATTTTAATGATATTTATAGCAATATGCCTGCTATATATACATAATTCTTATACTTATTCTTTGAATTTGTCTTATGTTTATTTAATATTTTAATATTAATATACATGAATAATTTTTTAAAATTATAAATTTACAATAATAAAAAGCTGAATAAAATTACATGCTCAGTTGATATTTATGAAGAAAATTTATATCAAAATCATGGATAGTTAAATAATTTAAATGTTTTTTATTTAAGTGTTATATTTACATTTTATACAATATTTTGTAAATGTTAGATTGTATAATTCAAATATTCTCTTACTAGTAATTCTCGGATTTAAAAATATACTTTCCAATAATATTCAAAAAGAGATATAAATATGTTGTGTTAAATATATATATGTACACATAATATATAAATAAATGCTTATATATTTAATATAAACATTGGGAATTCTGATACAAAATTACATTTACATGCGACTATTGTATTACCTAATTGCAGGTGAGTTCAACTCAACCGGCATAGGTAAGGCCTGCCAGTCAGTGGCGCCAGCAACCACAAAATACCCAACAAATCACCCTCAAATCTGCGATAATAATAATAAAATAAATAATCACAACAATGCAGAACATAATCATCACAAGTACAGAAAGCAAAACACACCGGGCTTGCTTGGTCTGCAGCTGGGCAGCTCCGCCAATAACTCTAAGTCTACTTGTAAGACATTAAGTGATAATAAGACTAGCTTTAGTACTGTATACATTAGGGTACATATAAGGGTAAGTGTAAATTTTGAAAGGGACGAAATGTGTTACACCGTTGGGGTACCTAGCCTAGTTAGGATACCCAAGTCTGATAGTCCCCAACGGTTGTTACACCTCCCTAACTCTGATGACAATTACTCCTTACTAGGGTCCTGCCTTGACCTAGGCGACAACAATAAATTTAAGGCTAATTTTAGTTATGTAAGTAATAACAACTCCAAGTCTGTGATATTGCTCAGCTCAACCAGTTACAGTAACCATTACCTCCTCTTTAGTGGTGGCTTTGACAAGATAGCTGCTGTTATCCCGGTACTTTGTATTAAAAGGGTCGATTCTACCACCACATCGAATAGAATGAAACTACTAGGTGATAAGTACGCCCTAGTTACCAGTTTTGCTCAGATCTCTAGACTGCTTGCAAACGATAGAATTCTGGATGATTCTAACTCCGACATCCGAGTTTCACTGAGCCGCCGAATAGTTCGACACCTCTTGGAATCGCATTTGAATGTCATCACTTTAGTACCGGTGTCTGTTCACGCTCAGAATTTCGCGATGTACGCCGCAAGTTCTTCCATTACGCTTATCGTTTCCAGAAACGAAGTAATTGACCACACTTTGCGATCTTTCCTGAAAAATCTCACACAATTATATGTACAATCTTCTATTTCTCCATTATGTAATGTCACTGTGACCGAGCTGATGCAACACATATGTGTTCCACTATTAATAATATGTAAAAGTAATTACAACGTTGGTAATAATTATAATGAATATTATAACGAGTACAGTAACGTTGGTAGTATTGAAGAAGAAATTAATATTAGTAATAATAATCCAGATGTTATCGGAGACATTGTTGACATCGCTGTGTGCTACAAGACTAGTGTAATGACTACTAATGTTAGGATCTTAGGGTCTCAAAATGATGGTATTAGTTGTACCGAAGCAACAATATATACTGTTGGTGCTCTTTTATTTCAGGATAACAATAAGCCTCTAAACACTTGTTTTAAGATTAATAGACATAGGGGATTGGTCACTACCGATCGCGAATCTAACTCTACCATTAAGTCTGTATTTAGGTCTAAGTTAAGCGATAAGTGTAGCAACGTTAAGTTTGAAACATCTCATGCCGCTCGACTTGACGAATCTGACAACAGTAAGCAAGTTAAGTTGACTGTCAACATTCCTATAATGACTACCTGCAAGCCTACGATGACGCTTACATGCCAATCAGCCACCGTCGCATCCCAAACAATTGTTGTACCTGTATCTCGGGCGGAGAGTCGCACGAACGACAATGAAATGCGATTGGAATATTTCAATATACTCCAAAATGACCAAATATGTATCCAATATATGTTGCTAAGTCATACAGATGATCTTAATAAGAATGACTTGTGTCGTTATGACGCAACTAAATTTAAAGATGCGCAAATTTATGCTATTGACAAGCTCAAGGCTACTACAACATCGAAAGATGACGCTCAGTTGACGATCAGCAAATATCACCGAGATACTCTTAAATACGACCAAAGTCGTAAAAATGATGACGATAATGCCATCATCTGCAACAGCAACGAAGATTTCTCTCTATCGACTACGATATGGCACTTCCTAAAGCAGTATGTGCGTGCATTAGTTTCTGATTGTCGAAGAATATACGAGACCAACAGAAACGAATATGAAGTTAATCGGCGTCGACTACGATCTATCTTGGATATCCTAATTCGCAAATCCTATGTCTCGGAATTGTATGAAAACTACAACGAGCCTATTGCAAGTTACAAGCAACGTTGGGGTATACCAATAGGACTGCGATTGGTAGGAGGTGGAGAGAGTTCCTTGAATAGTGGAGGAGCTGCAAATTGGGGAACAACACAAGCCACTACACCGAATAATAATAATACGAATCAGAGTGGATGGGGTGGTACACCCGGAAATCCACCTGGTAGTGCTAATGCGAACAATTGGGGCGGAAATACTGTCAATCGATCTGTTACTGGTAATCCAAATCAAAATCAAAATCAAGGACCACCTGGAAACCAAAATAATCCAGGTAAGAACATATATAATTGGAAGAAATTTTTAGAATTGATACATATCCAAAGTATTTACAAGTGTGTGTGTATGTGTATGTGTGTAATATAAATTTTTTATATTTAAATCAAATTACTTCATGTAAGAATTATATTTATATTTAACGTATTTAAAACTAGACAATTATTATTTAATAGAGTTTTTAAGGTATTAATATATTACAAAATAATATTAAAATATGTAACAAAATATATGGATATTTTGGATATGTATAGACATAAAAATAATATTTTGAAAATATTATTAAACATTGTTAAATATGATTTTTTAATTTAATTTTTATTTATTATTTATAAAAATAATTGTATTTCTTTTTGTATTTATTAGGTAATGTGAGTAAAGTTAATAATCCCAATCAACAATCGAATCAACAATCTGGTCCACCAACGTCTCAATCAAATAATCCTACCCAAGGGAATCAGAATAATAACCAATGGTCTCAGGGAAAGTCTAATAACCCAAGTGGTCTTGGGCAAAATCCATCAGTGCAAAATAATAATAGTAGTGGCGTTCAACAGCAGCAATCTTCAGGTTCAAGCGCGAACAATAATCAGTCCAATAATCCTACCCAAGGAGCTGTAAGCATTGGCAACACATCAACGACTAATAATCCGTCTACGAAGCAACAACTCGAACAACTCAATACAATGAGAGAAGCGCTTTTCAGTCACGATGGTTGGGGCTGTGTAAGTAAAATACAATATGTATGATTATATACATCTTAAAAGTATAACATTGAGATTATCTTTATTACTTGATAAAAGAAATAATTTTTCATGTGGAAGAATAGTAGTAGTATGCAGAATAAGTTTTCATAATGGTTTATTTCATGTAATATTTGATATGACTATCAATAATTGTGCAGCAAAATGTGAATCAAGATACAAATTGGGATGTTCCAACATCTCCTGAGCCAAGCATAACTAAGGATGGTGTACCGATATGGAAACCACCGGTGAACAACGGTACCGATTTATGGGAAGCGAATCTGCGTAATGGTGGACAGCCACCGCCTCAACAGCAAACAAAAACGCCATGGGGCCATACTCCCGCCACTAACATCGGTGGTACTTGGGGCGAAGATGACGAAACGTCAGATTCATCCAATATGTGGACCGGTGCACCAACGCAATCCCAGCCGAGCGCAGCTCAGTGGACTGGTGCTGCCGGTAATCAAGCCGGTATGTGGGGAGGTAGGCTAGTGAAGGCTGGAGATGCCAGATCTATATAGGCAAAATGTTCTTCAAAAATTTTTTATTTTGACTGAAAAATTTCCTTAATTTTTCTAATCTTATATTAGTTAATGTAATATGCCTGTTAGCGCACTGCTAACGTATTCTTTATGCGACT